AGGTGATGGATTCTGCATAGGGCTGTAGTTGTTTGGCGAGAAATTTGGCTAGGTTTTGTAGAGGTGAGCCTATGGAGCTGACTATAGGTCTGAGTGGGGTTCCTTCTTTGTGTATCTTGGGGAGACCATAGAGTTTGGGGCATCTGGATGATTTCTCTCTGGGAATGATTCTTTGCTGGATCTCTTCGCTAATGGGGGAGGCTTTTATTTTGGATCTGGTGGTTTTTTCCAGGTAGGTGGTGGGATCTGTATTTAGGGGTTTGTATGTGGAGTCTTGGAGTAGGTTGGTTAATTTGGTTAATTTGGTTAATTTCACACCACCATCCAGCACAGATCAACTCTGTAGCCAAGACACTCATCTCCAGAACAAAACGCTTAGCTGACAAACAACACCTAAAAACCGATTCCATAGAAATAAGATTACAAACCTAATCCAAAAAGAAACCCCCACTAAAATCCAAGACAAAGAACAAGAAAACGGCAAAGCCCTCCTCCCATACATAAAAGGCACCACAGACAGAATCAGTAAGATCCTCCATAAACACAACATCAAAACAGCATTCTGCACAAACAGAAAAATATCCACATCCTTAGAAACCCCAAAGATAAAATTGAATTAGAAAATCAAGGAGTATACGAAATCCCATGCACCACTTGTCACACCACATACATCGGACAAACCAACAGAAGAATAAGTGCACGCATTGAAGAACATAAGAACTCAGTCAAAAAAGAGGAACCAACATCTTCCCTGGTCCAACACCTTAAAGCCACAGGACATAAAATTGACTTTAAAAATACCAGAACCATTGCCAAAAGTGAACATTTCGATAACAGAATAATCAGAGAAGCCATTGAGATAGAAAAACGCCCACACAGCATGAACAAGCGAGATGATACCTCCCGCCTACCAGCCATTTGGAAACCCGCCCTTATTGACAAACGACTCCCTAACATTGCTGCTCAAAGCACGAAGCTGAAAACACCAGCCTGAAGATGACGAATGGGACTTCGTCGAAACGTCGCCAAGACACTTCCAATTTTACGCAGGAGAAAACCCGAACAACCAAAGACCTACATATATATATATATATATATATTGCAGATGTATTAGATAGATAGGTAGGTAGGTAGGTAGGTAGGTAGACCTTTTCTCAGAGGCAAAGACAAAAACTTTTTTTCAATGCTTATAGTATTTCACATTGTCATTGTGTAGCTATGTGTCTAATGTATGACCCATCTTTGATCCAAGAAGCTGAGAGGTGGCTACCTAGAATTTCTTTGTGATTTACAACCCTGTAAAACTTAAAAGGGGCATTATATGTTTAAATACTTGTTTGAATATGATTAAAAGAATGGATGATCCTTAGATATAATTAGACTTTTAGAATGAAATATATGATTTAGAAATAAAATAGCATTTTTTTCTTTTTGTTGATATGAAAAATATGAAAATAAGAGGATTGGTATGAATAAAATTTTTAGCTATACAAATATAATTAATATTGAGAAAATCATAACTGACAAAGATACTTCAAATATTGAGGGGAAATTAAACTTAACAAGAGCATGAAAAACAGGATTTTGATTTATGAACTGATATTATTGTTATTTATATAACATTAGTAAAATATGATGATATTTATATCTATCTTTGTATACATCAATAGTACCAAGTATTGTAACTGTGTAATGAGGGGAAAATGGAAAAAATGTGGAGAAGAAAGGAGGATAAGGGAAAAATACTGGATTGTGCAGTATTGAAGAAGTTAATGTTAAATATGTTGCTTACTAAGCACAAAATATTGTAATTCTTAAAAATTAATAAAACATTTTTTTAAAAAACCCTCCAATCTCTGCATTACTCCCAAATCAGAGAATGAGAAATGAGAATTTGTTATAGGCAAATTTGTGAGTCTACCAATAGGCCAGAATTTCCCAGTTCTTCCTTTATGCTCCCTTTAAATCAGTGGTTCTCAACCTTTTTAATGCCACAACCCCCAACCGATCGTAAGTCGAGGACTACCCAACCGGTCGTAAGTTGAGGACTACCCAACCGGTTGTAAGTCGAGGACTTTCCCTGCCCGGGAGTGCCGCGCATGCGTGGTGCCGCCCCCTGCACCGGCTGAGGCGTAGCTGGCAAGCGGCACAGACAGAGCAGGCCGACCACTGGGCCACCAGCTGGCCCAGCCCAAGGAAGGTAAGGCACTCGCTGGGCCCCACGCGCGCCAGCAACCCTCCCTGCGCCCGCCAGCCTCCCACCTCCCACCCCTGGCCCTCTTTTACTTACATTTTTAGTAGTTGCTCAGCAGGAAGGGGTGGAAACTTCCAGACAGCTCGCCACAGGTTGAGAACCACTGCTTTAAATCTTCCTGTGCTTTTATAGCATCACCAAGTAGGCCAGCAGGATGTTTCTGAACTTCAACAACTTTAAGTTGTGTAGACTTCAATTCCATGAATTCCCCATGCTGGCTGGGGAATTCTGGGAGTTGAAGTCCACACAACTTAAAGTTGCTGAGGCTGATAAACATTGTTCTAGCACAGTGGTTCTCAACCTGCGGGTCGAGACCCCATTTGGGGTCGAACGACCATTTCACGGGGATCGCCAAACAACGCAGTCCGCCATTTTTTCCCCCTTTTCCTTAGCTGTGCTACTCTCTTTTATTTTATCGGCTTTTGAAAGCCAATAGAATAGACTCTCTTAAATAGAGTCTAATTCTATTGGCTTTCAAAAGCCAATAGGAATTGTCCAGGCTGTCTCTGCCCTGCTGAGCCCGCCAAAAGTCCCATTCTGCAAACGGTGCTGCACCAGTTGAGTAGTCCTCGACTTACGACTGATTGAGTAGTCCTCGACTTACGAATGGTTGGGGGTTGCGGCATTAAAAAGGTTGAGAACCACTGTTATAGCAGCTCCATATTTATACTGCCATAAAAACATTACCCACAACAATGATTTGTTTGTTGACCTCAGTGTTCATTTTGCCAGCTGGTTATATGGTTTGCCAGTCTTGGGGGAGTGGGGGGGGCTGCTTAAGAAGAGCAAAGCCAGAGCATTGCAGGGTGGTGGGGTTCAAAAAAACCCAAGGTGGTGACTGCAACTATTTCAACACGCATAAAAAGAACAAGGCTTTTATCACTTATTTATGGCCATTATCTTGCCTATTGAACCCTCTCCCTGTGGACACTCCTGGGTCAAAATAAATCAGGCCAGTAATTAATATACTAAATGCAAAATGAAAATGTTCCTTTATGGATCAGTAATCCCTTAATTCCAATTTGCATGTTTGGAAGTTTACCCTAGTCTTAGACTCAGATATTAGGTAGTCTTTCAGTGATAAAATATTTTCTGTGACCTCAACAATATCCAATGACTCTGATTTGTGAAATTGGGACCTAACTGCTTCACTAGCTTTCATATTAAAAGCTGAGATAGGCAAAAATCAGATCTGCATTTCCCCCAACATTATAACCATGGTGGCTATCAAATTGAAGCTGTTTGTATCAGAGGACAACTATGAATCTGTTTCCTTTATGAATCTCCAGAAAATATCAGATACTCCACAACATATCAGATATTCTATAAAGTATCAGAACAAAGGATGGACAAATGTGCTGAACCAGAAAAGCAGGCCATATTTATATACGTGTTTTGAATGTCTTCTCAAAAATTCTCAATTTTGGACTACTGCAATGCGCTCTACATGGGGCTACCCTTGAAAAGTATTCGGAGACTACAGTTGGTCCAGAATGCAGCTGCGCGAGTGATAGTGGGTGCTCCTCGATACACCCACGTTACACCTATCCTCCGTGAGCTGCACTGGTTGCCTATTGGTCTCCGGGTCCAATTCAAGGTGTTGGTCATTACCTTAAAAGCCCTATATGGCTCAGGGCCAGGCTATTTGCGAGACCGCCTACTACCTCATAGTTCCCTACGTCCGGTTAGATCCCACAGGCTGGGCCTCCTTCGGGCCCCGTCGGCCAAGCAGTGCCATTTGGCGGGGCCGCGGAGGAGGGCCTTCTCTGTGATGGCGCCCACGCTTTGGAATCAGCTCCCCCGGAGATTAGGACCGCTCCCACCCTGTTGGTCTTCCGTAAGCTACTTAAGACCTGGCTTTTCCGGCAGGCCTGGGGTTTATAAAACCCTACACCTGGATGATTGTTTTTGTATTGTTGTTTGTTATGTTTTATGTGTTTTTTTATTGTTAGCCGCCCAGAGTCCTTCGGGAGTGGGGCGGCTTATAAATTTTAATAATAATAATAATAATAATAATAATAATAATAATAATAATAATAATAATAATAATAATTCCAGGAGTGATCTAAAATCAGCCACTCAGCCTCATAGCTGACAGGATGGGAGTTCAGCATCTCCCAGCCCATTTAATCTAACACTCTTCACAACGTTTTCCTCATTGCAGCAATCAAAAATATTTAGCACACGTAGCAATCAAACTAACAGATAAAGAAATAGCAGAAGGGAGAATGTAGAGAGAAAGCGTGCTGTTATCAAAAGGCCCAACTTCTTAATCTAGTTCAGAAAAAAAATTATTTTACCTGGTTCCAGAGGCACAGAGATCGGACTTTGCTGTTTTCTGGCTTGAATGTTAAGCCCCAAGTAGCCTTCCTCATCCTCCATTTGACAAGATGTTCTTCAGAGTGCCCTTTGAAGAATGTGTGTGTGTGTGTGTGTGTGTGTGTGTGTGTGTGTGTGTGTGTGTGTGTTTCTGAGCCTGCAGTTCTTTGGGAGAAGCAGCAGAACTGACCACTTGTGGTAAAGAAGCAACAGAGGGAATGAGGCCTCTGGCTTGACCACCTCTCAGCACCTCTGCTCTGCTCTTGATGGCTCAATGGTGCCAATGAATTTGTTTCCAAAAAAGGCTGTAAAGAAAGGTCACAGGCCAGCTCTGGTTCATTTAGCCATTCACTTCATTTTTTTTCCCCCTGTGAGAAAACAGCCAATAAATATTGCATCAGCAGACTACACAAATCTGCAGGCCTTGCCATTAACGCTCAAGCATATCTGCCTGAAGAATGCAAGGTGAAAGGTGGAGCTGTTAAATGCTTTCTATGCTTCAACCAAGATTAAATTATCTCAGGATGAAAATACCCATAAAAAGAGGAAATCCAGACCTCGGCCTCAAAGTTCAGGCCCTTACCAGGCTGGTTCTAAAGGAAAAGACATGTTTTTGTCAGACCAGTAGATGCTTCTAATGATGCAGCCACAACATTTATTTAATATGTTTATTTTTTTTAATGTATTATTACATTTATATGCTACCCAACTTGCTATGAAAAAACAACTCTGGAGTTCAGATTTCATTGCCTTTTTTCATTTTCATTTTTTCTATCCAGCTTGTGATCAGTTATGTTTACAAGATCCTTAGAGTTTTGCCAAGCCAAATACAACAGTTCATTTAGTGACTTACATCTGTTCATCAAAGTTATAACAGCACTGAAAAGTGACTTGTTATGGTCATTTTTCACACGTACGACTTTAGCACCAGCTCCATGGTCACACGATAAAAATTCAGATGCTTGGAAACTGGCTCATACTTACGACGGTTGCAGTGTCCTGGGGTCATGTTTACACTTTTTGTGATCGTCTGACAAGCAAAGTCAATGAGGAAGCCAGATTCACTTAACAACTGTGTTACTAATTTAATAACTGCAGTGATTCACTTAACAACTGTCATAAAATGAGGCAAAACTCACTTAACAACTGTCTCACTTAGTGACAGAAACTTTGGGCTCAGTTGTGGTTGTAAGTCAAGGACTACCTGTGGCCCCTATCCAATGCCTGTTTTTTTCCTAAATTAAGGATGCTGCATTTGTCCTTGTTAAATTTCATTCTATTATTTTCAGCCTATTTCTCCAAACTATCAAGCTCATTTGGAAAGTTCTTTCTGCCTTCTCAAGTCTTAGCTAATTCATCTAATTTGGTGTCATTTACCGATTTGTTAAGTAATCCTTCCTCCTCTTCAACAGATTATTAATAATCGTGGAAGAGTACAAGGGCTTAGCAACCAGGTCTGAACATGTCCACATATCTTAAAATTGCCAAATCTGTGTGCTCAGCCTTGGCAATTTGAAAATGGGTGTATTTCAGCTACTAGAATTCCACACCAAACCGAGCCACTGCTGTAGACATCCCTGGACTGTTCCCATGAACTTAAAGTTGGATTCTCCCTCCCTCCTTCTAGTCAGTCTTCCATATTGCCTATTTTTCCCCTTTACCACCTCATATGTTTGTCCTTTTTGATTTACAGATTTTCTCTAAGGTTAGATCCTTCTGCTATTTTCTACTTCTCCCCTCCCCCACCTTATTGGAATTCTGATGCTGCTTTTAATATCTTTTCTAGGAATTCTGATGTCTTTGGGCCTCTTTTTCCCATTAACGTCTTCTGCGGTAGAATCACGCTGTAGTTGATATTGCTTTATTAAAATCCACTTCTTCGAAGGTCAATTCACCTTTAGGTTCCTAAATATGAAGAATTACAGCATTACACAGCTATTTTTCATCAACATTTCTACTAATGTTAATGCTACTTTATCTTTTTTTTAACTGTTCATCTTTTTTTAATGAGCTCAAGTGCCTTGCACAGGGAAAGGTTTTAATTTTATTGCCACAATAGTTCTATGAGAATGAGAGAAAAAGTGACTGACATGTTCTAGTCGTGGAGAAAGTTGAATCTTCCCAATCTAAATTTAATACTGTAAACAATATAGACCAGGGGTAGGCAACCTTGGCTCTTTTATGACTCGGGGACTTCAACTCCCAGAATTCCTGAGCCAGCATGGCTCAGCTTGGAAACCTCTCCCTTTCCCCTCAGCATGGCTGGCTCAGGAATTCTGGGAGTTGAAGTCCACGAGTCATAAAAGAGCCGAGGTTGCCTACCCCTGATATAGGTAGTTCTCCACTTGTGAACACAAATGAGCCCAACATTTCTGTTGCTAAGTGAAACATCTGTTAAGTGAATTTTGCCCCATTTTATGACCTTTCTTGCCATAGTTGTTTAAGTGAATTGCTGTGATTGTTAAGTTAGGAACAGGATTGTTAAGTGAATCTGGCTTCCTTACTGACTACTTGTCAAAAGATTGCAAAAGGTGATCACATGACCGTGGACACTGCCACCATCATAAATATGAGTCACTTGCCAAGCATCCAAATTTTGATGACATGACTATGGGGATGCTGCAACAGTCATAAACATGAAAAATGGTTGTAAGTCACTTTTTTTAGTGCTGTTATAACTTTGAACAGTCATTAAAAGAATTGTTGTAAGTCGAGGACTACCTGTACTCTCACTCTCTAATAGTAACTGGCATGACCTAGCTATGACTGAAGTGATATAAATATGTCCTTATTGCTGTTATTTTGATACAACTATTGTTCTTAGGAGTCACAGAATCAAAATGATTTGCCAGCCTACGTTAAAAAATAATACAACATTAAAATCTGATCAAATAATCCCAAGCGGTAATAGTGACAGTGAGTACATCAAATTTAGTTTTTAATTTGGTAAATATTGATAAATATAACCTATAAAAGGAAACGCTTTGTGAGGGTCCACTATAATTTTTAGAACTGGGAAGAGGTCCTGAGGGGAAAAAAAGTTTAAGAAACACTACTTTTAGAGGACAGAAAAATCACTACCGTGGTTGTGATATTTGTCTGTTAGCTTTTGGGATCCAAACGAAAATAAATGATTCCTTTGTGCTTTTCTCCAACTTTAGGGGAAAACTATTTCAACTGAGACTTATAAAGAATACTAGCGTTAAGGAGGAGGTTTGCCCTTGAGAAATAATTTCTTCTTGTTCAGAAGATTACTTTGGATAAATCATCACCTAATTTTTATGTTCGCAAATCTGGAGGAGGATTTGGAAAAAAAATGTTTTTACCCGGTTCTGAGTAATATATACACATTTACAGCCAATTTTGAAGTCGTCTCTGAGCTATGCATCCATTAGAATTTCCCTTTCTTCTGTTAGAGGATCAGATTCAACCGCACTGATGGAAATTATTCAAGACCTACTAACCACAATCAACAATAGGATCTGGTTAGAGGATTTACTTTATCCCTTGGCTTTATCTAAAGGCAAGAGGATTGCAATGTAAATAAAAAAATGATGAAAAACAGATTATAATTGAGGCTATTTCAAATGCTAGCTATAATAAGCTTGGAGCTTTCTTAAACCTTCTAAGCATTAAGAATTAGGACTTTTGCATGGGGAAAAAATACATTACACCACTAAGAAAAACCTTGCTTTTCACAAACCCCCCCCCCATAAAAAAACAAAAACCCACACACCAAACAACAATAACAAAAAAACAACCTCACAGGGAAAGAGAATATTTCTCTACCATGAAATTGCAAATTAGACGTAAAGCCTGGAGATGTAGTTCATTTCCCACATAATTTGTACTTTAGCTTTCATGGTTTTTTTAGAAGTACATGACACCCTAGCCTAAAGCTTAGTTTACAAGTCTCAACAGCTGAAGCAAAACCATACAAATCACATCATGACTTAGAGCTTTGTATTAATTTTGCCGACATGTTAAACCACAGTGTAATTGTTTTGGCTTCGTTTGTGTTAGCTTTTTATGAGAACCCATTTTACAGTTCATCTTGCTATAAAATGCTGTCTTCAGGGGCTTTTAAAGTTGCTTTGATAAAGCTATCATTACCTTTATACAGGTAGTCCTCACGACCACAACTGAGCCCAAAATTTCTGTTGCTAAGCAAGACCGTGGTTGTGTGAGTTGTGATTATAGCTTACAAGCAGAACTTGTGCCCCATTTTATGAGCCTTTTTGCCACACACAGTTGTTAAGTGAATCACTGCAGTTGTTAAGTGAATCTGGCTTCTCCTTTGACTTGGCTTGTCAGGGGCAGCTGGGAAGGTTACAAATTGTGATCACGTGATCCTGGGACAATGCAAGGGGGTGCATGCCAGTTGTCAAGCACTCAAATTGTGATCACATGATCATGGGGATGCTGCAATGGTCATAAGTGTGAAAAACAGTGATAAGTCACTTTTTTTCAATGCCATTGTATCTTTGAATGGTTACTAAACAAATGGTTGTTAAGTCGAGGACTACCTGTCTCTTTTTAATTCCAGGTGTTCATTCATATGCAAGTATGTAGGCATACTCAAGGAAAGGAGGGATATAGATGAAATACAATCGATCCTTAACATCTAATATTTAATATAATAAAATGCAATTTCAAGAGGTTTTTTTCAACTAGGTTAACAAAATTTTAGTTTATATGCTTGCTGAAGAGAATATGATGACCGTGATAATAGTGGTGACAATGATCCTGTTATGTGCTCCTGGATACTTTCCTTCGTGACCAGAGGCAAACTCACCTGACCAATAACCAGCAAAGACACAATGAAGGCCTTTCGTTTCATTTATTGCAATAAGCGGGGAGAGAAGCTATCAAAGCTTGGTTCTCTCCAAAGTTCTAACCGAAAATATTCCTTTCTTTATACAACCCTGTCCTGGCCGCCACATCCCTCCTCGTTCCCTATTGGCTGAGGTACTATGAGGTTACACTCTTTCTGATCGCCTCCTACATATTTCCTGCTACCCTCCTTAAACATACTAAATCATATTCACATGTACATTAATCATATAAAATATTAGACATTTCAAATAGTTATTTTGAGCTCTGTGATGTTTTATGGCTCCTTGAAACAATAGGTTCTTTCCTGTTTTTCAGTTCAGCTAATTTTCCCTGGCCAGCCATTTCCTCTTGCAATGGTTTTTACAGCTTGTGTTCTTCCTTTCCCAATTCTGGAGACCCAGATACTGTTTTGCCCACTTGTTTATCTTACATCCTCCCTTTATGCTACCCTTTCCTGGTTCCCAACCATTGCACTTTCTTTGGTAGGCTTGTTTCTCCACTCAGTAAGTTTCCACTGCAGCAAATTCAATTTTAAATTCCTCTTTCAATATTAAATTTTGAAGACCATTCACTTATTCCTATCGATCCTTTATTTAAGAAAACAGAATAAACCGAAAAAGACCAAACTGATTTGATGTGTTATCTTTGATTGAATGGGTGTATAACAATCTGTGCCCTTACTCAGATTTTCTGACTTTTGTCTCATTTCTCCTTTCACACTTTGATTCTATGAATATCTACTTTTTCACAAGTACTTCAAACAGTGCAACTATTTCCTCAAATAAATTAAAATCTATATAGCTTTGTGGGTTGGCATTGGTCCTAAGAGCCTGAGAGCTTTACTCTGTTAATTTGCAGGCTTGTGGATTAAATAGAATGATGGTTTCAAACTTCTCCAGTTGCTGATAATGCCTTTGGAGAGTTTTCCACCACTTATCTGATAGTCATTTACAAGTAGAATAATATTGAGGCATGGGAAGTCCTTCCAGATCAGTCCCCTATGGACAAAATTGTGACGTTGTTGAAAATGCATTGAAAATGCAGACTGTGATGAGGCTTTTCGTCTTGCCTGAATAGCTGACCAATCATACTGACCTGAATAAATGAAAAGACTGGAAGTAACGCTCCACCTGATGGACTTGATAGGACATGAAAATTTATTCTTGTATTATATTCTCTGTGTATCGGGGTGTTATACTGCCTGAAAATTCCTGTACTTTTCTCTGCAAGACTTTTTCATTAGAAGATGGGAACCCTCTGATAACAGTAAAAATAACAATTGTAAACAAAAGAGTGAATTGTAGCTGACCAAGACATCTCTGTGAACAAGTAAAGCTGCCAGTTCCGAGATGCGTCTGGCGGAAGTAATGGCTATCAAAAAGGCGACCTTGAGCGACAAGGATTGCAAAGAACAGGTTCTATGGATTCAAAGGGTGACGCAGTAAGGGCCTGGAGAACCCGCGGTAGCTCCCAGGAGGGATATCTATGAACCACAGGCGGTCTGCTATTCATGACTCCTTTAAGAAAGGAGTGGACCATGGGGTGCTGAGACAATGAATCTGATTTGTCCCAGGAGAGCACCATAGAGAGAGCCGCTACTTGTCTGCGAATAGTGTTGGGTGTCAATCCCTTGTTGATGCCCTTTAATAAATAGTCCAAGACCCTCAGAATGGTTACTTCCAAGAGATTCAAGTAGTTCTTGTCACATCAGTGGCAGAAATTCCACCAGGTGTGGTCATAAATGCGATTAGTCGCTGGTCTCCTGGATGCCTGAATCATGTCAATCGCGTCTGACGAGTATGACTCCTGTGTCAGGGTGCGGCATTCAAGCGCCAGGCAACCAATTGGAGCCATTGGGGCTTGGATGTTATAGAGCCCTCTGCATTAAAACAATGCAACTGTCGGAAATCTGCCACGGAGGAGATGTGGAAAAGCTCACGAGGTCTGCAAACCATGGTTGTCTTGGCCAGTGAGGTGCAATGAATATTAACTCCACCTGCTCCTGTAGTATCCTCCTGATAACTGCCGGGTTGTGTAGATAAAAGTGAGACTATGGGGAGAAATTCCTTAGATTATTCCTTGTATTATGTCAGAGACAGCAGAAACATTTGCAGCTATCATAAGACATTCTCTTAATGTGAATGTTGGTTTGGTCCATCTTTTCCCTCACTCTTCAAAAGATATTCATGCTTCATTCTACCCTTACATCTTTTAGTGTGCACACTTTATCTTTCTTTATTTTAAACAAGGATATTGCAGGGAATTATTTTTTAAAAAAGTGTAGATAGTAGCCACCTAACTATAACCAAAGCTCTGTTTGTTGTGTGTGTTACACCATTATGGCCACCATCTTGGGTTTTTGACCCAAGATGGTGGAAACCTCTGTGTGCTTTACCGATTATCTCAAGGGTGTCAAACTGCTGGTCCATGGGCTAGATTCATCATAGTAAAACCATGCCCACCCTGTTGCCAGCAACTGCAAAAAAGTTGCGATATGTCGCGACACATCACATGACGTGAGTTTGACACCCCTGGATTATCTCCTTGATCTTTTTTTGCCTCTCTTTCGCTTGTACTTTTCATCTTACGTTAATCTGGTAGGCAAAAATCAGAAGGAATCTTTGAAGAATAACACATTTTAGTATAAGGCATAAACCTTTGTGAGAGTACAATCTAAGCAATGTAACTCTTCTTCAGAAGAAAGCATTTATTGTGAGGGATAAAGTCTATTTTTTAATTTAAAAAGTCATATGCAATTTAATTAAGGGGTTTTCCTATGTAGACAGTAAAATCTTCTGCTACTACTGTAAAAAGATTGGGAGATGTATCAACCATTTAATAGATATTCTAATCAAACTTTGTTTCTGAATAGTGATGGCACTATCATTTCTGAATAAATTGTGATAATCTAATTTTGTAATCATCCATTACTTCCTTCTCTCACTCAATTGATACATTCATGTTTCTTCCTCTGGCAGTTTCTTTATCCAATTTTCTATTCTCCTCAACTATGTATGGTACTCTTTCATTTTGTTAAAAGGAAGATTTTCATCTAGAGACTTATCCTGCTCATCCATTCCACCTGCAAATCATTCATGTAGACATTTCTGACTTTTTAAACATTTGCTATGTGTGATTTTTTTCTGTCCTCTTGTCTTGAAGCCTGCTCCTTGGGCCATTCTAACACGTGTGTCTTTTATTATATTTGACAGTTTTATAAATGGAGCCCAGATTGAAAGCACAAGGTGTAAAGATGACTCTTCCCCACATCACTTTCAAGAGAAACATTGGGAATTTGGGGTGGGGGAAGCTGATGGAGGTAGTTTCAGTTTCAGTTGCTAAAGGGAAAACTTTAGAAAGCCCAACTCTTAATACTATGAATTTCTGCTGGTTGGGCAACAGGTGAACTTCCTTTTCCAAAGCAGGAAAAAGATTCCAGTAACTGCTAGAATCTGAGATTGAAACTGTTTTTACAGCACATGAGAAAACATCTCTAATTAAATGGATCATCTAATTTAAGCATCCTGCTTAAACTGGTTCCTCCATATCCAGTTATATTAAAATAGTTTTGATTGCAATACCCAGAATACCAGACCTGCTCATTTATTAGATTTAAGGATCTCAGCCATATGAAAAAGATATGTGAATCATTAGGCTATAGAAAAATTGGGAAGGATTTCTGTTTATTTGTTTTTCCATATTGCATCAAGTGTTTACATTGTGAAAATAACAGGATTTTTATCCAAATAATTCAGACAGTATTTATCAAGAGGTTTTTGGGGGGGGGTAATTAAAAGCCTGTCTCAAATCAAGATATAACAAATTATACCTAGCAGTTTATTATTTTTATTTATGTGGTGTTTAGTTGTCTCCTTATTCGTCTTCCAAGTTTCCCCTAGTCAGTCTCTGAAAGGACAATGGATACTTCTGGAAGGTTCTCTGGCACAGCTTGTCATCAGTTCCCCAGGCTTTAAGGAAAAGTCTTGATTGGTTCCTGAGAGAAATAAAGACACAACCGTTATTCTGAAGCCAACAACACTGGAGCTACATCTTCAAATAGTGCTTTTAAGATGTGGACTTTCAAAGAGATTCAACTTAATGGCAGCCCTTCATGGTAGGCCAGCTCAAGAAATAGGCAAAGCAGAGATTCCAGAATGCTCTTCTCTGTAGTAAGGTAGAATAAGAGAATTTTATCTCGCCTTGGTTATTTTTACAAATAAACCCACACTCCTTTCTCCTCCTATTTTCTCCACAATAACAACAACCCTGTGAGGTGAGTTGGGCTGAGAGAGAGTGACTAGTTTAAAGTCAGCCTATTTAGTATAATGGGAACACAGAGCATCTTAGATGGACTTTTGATATTCAGATTAAGGCACCAGGCTAAACATTACCAGACTTTCAGTTCTAATTCTACTTTTCTGGCTTTCACGGCTAAGGTAGGATTAGAACTCACAGTCTCCTGATGTCTTGCCTGGTCCCTTAATGTTAACCTTAAAAGTCCATCTAAGATGCTCTCTGTTCCCATCTTATACTTTGTGGAATCCAAATGCAGGACCCAAATGCAGGACCCAAAGTAACTAATCAAGGCTTGCTTTAGTATTTACTGTTAACAGTGCACACTGGAAAAATTCCCTCCAGAAAATAGGGGGAGGAACTCTTGCAGAGAAAAGGGTGCTGTCAGGCTGTCCCAGCTTGGACGTTTAGGAAATAAAGACCCTCAACTCCATTTGTAGCAAAAACTATACTTTTACTAAAGTGAAGTGGTTATAGTGCAAGAAAAGCTGGATCTGAGTATTCCTGCGCAAAGCCTGCCTTTCCCCCTTCTCCCTGGCCCTCCCCCCTTGACCAATTTGTAAGTGTCCAATAATATCCTAATTAGGTGTTTTGACAACAGCTTTAAAGTTTGGCGTCCCTTTGGTGGAGTTTCGCATTCCATTCTCACGCTCGTGTTTAAACTGGATTTGACACATTTGGTCCACCTATCCAGGCCTTCCCAAAGAGCTGGGACAGGCAGATATTGTTTGATGGAGTTAAAGGTATCATCAACTGCTGGCCGGTGGGCCGGTTGCATCACGAGGAGACCGCGCCCATCCCAGCACCGGCAATGCAAAAAAAGTCACGATATGTCGTGACACATCACATGACGTGGTGAGTTTGACACCTATGATGTAAGCTATTCCAAGAAATTGCTTTTTGCAATTGATTGATGGGGATTTGGCCCATGCCAATGGTAGTCAAGTGGTGGTCCAGATATTTTGGGATCATTATCATCATCATCATCATCATCATTATTATCATCATCACTACTACTATTACTATAGTTGTTGTTATCTTTATATGAGCAACTAAGATATACATAGTGAGTGAATCAGTGGTTCTCAACCTTTTTTTTACCACAGACCCCCTTTAAATATCCTTTCTGATAATGGACCTCCAAGATTTAACTTGAGATTTAAATCATAACTTTTTTTCAAGTCTTTGTGGACCCCCTGTGAACCACAGGTTGAGAAGCACTGTTTTAAGACATAACTAGAGACCTAACTCTTGAGACATTACAAAATTGCCCACCACAAAATCAATGTTTTATTTCAGTCTCAGCAAAGGCTGGCAATAAAAACAAGATTTTTAGAGATTGCTGTATGAGTCTCTACATTTGATCTAGAAACATACAGTAAATAAGATTTTTAAAAATATCTTTTTCATCAACCACTACTCCCCTCCAAAGGCAGAATTAATAGTTGAACTTACGTGGCTCGTCAGCCTTTGAAAAATGGCTCTTTAAAAAGTCACAGTGCTCGTTTGCCCTTTGCTGGAATGGCTCAGTATTAAGAAGGAAGAAATTCTGCTCTGTGGCATTGTAGAGCGGCCACTCATCCTTGGTGGCCACCAACCCAGTAGGATTCCTATGGAGGAAGAAAAGGATGCTGATGGAAACCAATCAAGGAGAGAACCAATCTAGAAATAAGGATACATTTCCTGACAATGAGAACAAGTGATCAGAGGAACGGCTTGCCTTCAGAAGCTGTGGATGCTTCATCACTGGAGGTTTCAAAGACGAGATTGGACAGCCATTTGTCCAGAATGGAATGGGGTCTCCTGCTTGAGCAAGAGATTGGACCAGAAGACCTCCAAGGTCCCTTCCCACACTGTTATTCTGATATAGTTCTTTTGCAAATGGATTGGTCTTGACTTGAGAAACTATAACCAAGGGGAACTCCGAAAGGGGACTTTGAGGGAAGGGTGGGGTTTGGCTTGGTGAAATCTCTTGTGTCTCCTCCTTGCTGATCCAAAGCCAAGCTAACTCCTCACAGAGTCTTGAAATCTGCCAATCCCAATCCACCACCCCCATTCCTCCCACCCTGGGCATCCTCCATCTTGGGAGTTTCCCCTTTACTACTTACTCTCTGGCTAGCCTTTGCTTATTCTGCTAATGCAGTCGTTCTCAACCTTTTTAATGCCGCGACCCCCAACCGGTCGTAAGTCGAGGACTACTCAACCGGTCGTAAGTCGAGGACTACTCAACTGGTGCAGCACCGTTTGCAGAATGGGACTTTTGGCGGGCTCAGCAGGGCAGAGACAGCCTGGACAATTCCTATTGGCTTTTGAAAGCCAATAGAATTAGACTCTATTCAAGAGAGTCTATTCTATTGGCTTTCAAAAGCCAATCGAATAAAAGGGAGTAGCAGAGCTAAGGAAAAGGGGGGAAAAATGGCGGACTGCGTTGTTTGGCGGCCCCCGTGAAATGGTCATTCGACCCCAAATGGGGTCCCGACCCACAAGTTGAGAACCACTGTGCTAATGATACAGTAATGCTTTGTTTTCTATCTTCCTTTTGCCTTTTTTATTCCATTTGTAGATATAACATGCACTGGAATATGTATGATACCACTGAACTCATAAAAGAACAATTACCTATAAGTGACATAATTAAGAATCCTTAAAAATTCAGGGCTCTTCCCTGTAGTGTTAGTTCTTGACTTAAAACCATTCATTTAACATCCATTGAAGGTTACAATGGCACTCAAAAGTGATTTACAACTGGTCCTAGCACTTACAACTATTGCAGCATCCCCATAGTCATGTGATCAAAATTTGGCTGCTTGGCAACTGGCATGTATTTGCAATGGCTGCAGCACCCCAGGGTCACGTGTTTCACCATTTGGAAGCAAGCAATGTTATGGATTCACATAACCATATGTTATACTTAACAACTGCAGTAATTTGCTTAATGACTGTGGTAAGAAAGGTCTTAAAATTGGGCATGATTCATTTCACAAGTTGCTTAGCAACATAAATTCTGGTCCCAACTCTGGTTGTAAATCGAGAAATACCTGTATTAACTCAACTCGTAAACATAGGCAACATTGGACTTAAAATACAAATTTATAGAAATAAAGTGAACCACTTACCCAGTTCTGGCAAACTCTGCCCAGTATTGCATCATCTTACGGCTCAGTCTGGCTTCAGCCTCTGTGAACGTTTGATTGACAGGAAGCACGGATTCAGGGGTCCCAAAAACATAAGAAAGCTCAGCACCGTGGGATGCCCCAATCCATTCAGGCCAGACTGACCCTGAAGGGCGATGTGCGAATAAATAGGCATATACAGCATTCCCCATTTTCCTGATATTTCTTGCAGCTTCAATCAAGGGGCATGCAATGATATGATCTGTATAGAATTGGGACAGAGCAGAGCGGTATTTTGCTGGGCCCTGATTTCCTTCACTGTACCTCAGGGCAATTGTCTGAACAAGGTCTCCAGTTGCATTTGGCACTAGCAGTCTTATCCCTTTCAGAAGCTGCTTCTGATTGATGAGATTGTGGGTGATGTTAGAGAAAACATAAGAGACAAATGAGGCTCCTTCATCAGAGGTTTTTCCTATGAGGACTGGTTTGACTTGAATTTGCCCCTCCTCCATGAGCTTCTCCGGATCACCAAGCAAAAAATCCCCATCTACGGTTGGCCTGAAGGGAAAATTCAGAAGGAAGCCACCTTTAAGGATCATAGACATTTCATGCCGAATAAATTCAGAAACATTTTTTGTTTCCAGGCAATGCAGTATGCTAATATTGCTGTCCTCAGAGCAACCTAGCAAATGAACAAATTCCAGCGATAACCATTTGGCTTCCTCAGGAGACCTCCAAGCCCAGAAGGCATTGGCTGTTCCACTCTGAATCACCGCTTGGGCAAAAAGGTCCTGGCTTTTTGATGCAAGAAGATGGAAATTCACAGAAGATCCTCCAGCACTCTCGCCAAAAATGGTCACCCGAGAAGGGTCTCCCCCAAAGGCAGCTGCATTCTCTTTTATCCACTTCAGGGCCAGCTGTTGGTCCCATAAGCCTAGGTTCCCTGGAGCAGCTGGTGGCAAGTAAAAAAAGCCTAAGGCTCCCAAGCGATAATTGATGGTGACCACAATGACATTTTCAGTGGCAGCTAAGGATGCCCCATTGTATATGTCCAGAGAAGACGAGCCCATGAAATATCCTCCTCCGTGTATCCAGACCAAAACAGGCACTGGTGAAGAAGGTTGTGGGTGCGGCACCCAGATGTTGAGGGAAAGGCAATCTTCTGACAGTGGTGTTTTAGGAGTAAATATCTCTCCTTCAGGGACATCCCGGAAAATAAATTGAGGACAGGAATTGCCAAAGCTGGTGGCCTCCAAAGTTTGAGTCCAAGGCTGATGTGGAAGAGGTTTCTGGAAGCGCAACTTTCCCAGGGGAGGCTCGGCATAAGGAATGCCTAGATAGGCTGTCACAGATCCAGGGCCAGCCAGGAACTGCTTGCCCTTAATAGGGCCATTGCTGGTTATGACCACTGTGTCCCCATTAGAAGAAGAACTGGAGGCTAATGGAAAGAGGAAGAGGAGGAGGAGGCAGCACCGGAGAGAAGGGCATAGCTGACAAAGCATTGCAACAGTAGGAAGAGTTGATGGACCTGGAAAAAGTTACAACCAATATGAGATTATTCCTCTTATTGTATAAGCCCACCTTATGCCAATTCATCATTGATTTATATGTGATAAATGTGATTAATAAATAAATATTATTTTTATTTCTCACCTTTATAAGTACACCCATCTTGCAAAAAGTGACTCTAGGTGGCACACAACCATCAATAAAAATAAACGAAATGATTTTCACAGTGGAGAAAGTCATTGAAAAACTGAGCTTTCTACCACTGTAGTCCTTTATCCCTGCTGTTGTAACTTTGAATGGTCACTAAAAATGGATATAAATTGAGGACTACCTGTACTATAGTCTTTCCTATAACTATATACAGTTGTGAAAATTGGACAATCAAAAAGAAGGGAGACAGAAGAAAATTTGATTCTTGGAAATTGTGGGATTGGAGACCACTAATGCTCATATCTTGGAGAGCAAAAATAACAACCAAGGAGATTTTAGACCATGTCACACTGAAACCTAGGATTGCGAAGGTAAGCCTGACATCTTTTGGTTATATTGTGCAATAAAATTCCTTAGAAAAGCCAGTTATGATCAGAATGGTTGGAAGCACTTATAAAAGAGACCAGCGCAGAATATCAACAAACATGACACTGTTTAAAACCTAGAAACATTAAACAAAGTTGTAAAGCATCAGAAAAAAATGGAGAGAACTAATCTCTAAAGTCTATAAAGCAATGTTTTTCAGTCTTGGCAACTTTAAGATGTGTGGACTTCAATTCCCAGAATTCTGCGAGTTGAAGTCCACACCAGTTAAAGTCGCCAAGTTTGAGAAACAGCATTATAAAAAGTCAGGTACAACTGAAAAGATAAAGAGCACAATTTCATCCTCTGTCTCTGAACCCAGCAACTCAGGATTTCTAATCACCATGGGATTTACTAAATAAAGCTGACCTGCATTTTCTTTCACACAAAGGCCAGCCTTAGAAATGTTTTTTTTAGAATAGCTACATTCCCCTAACCTGAGGGATCCCCAACCCTTGGGCTACAGTCCACTACTGGGCCTTGAGCCTTTCACAATTGGGCCACGGAAGTGGCAGGCAAGTGCATATATAGATGCGTGCATACCCACTCACACAAGCAGCATGCATGCCTGCCACACGTATGGATCCATCCCCTCTTCCCCCCTCCCCGCTGATCCACCAAGCCAAAATGTTGGGGAATTCTGCCCTAACTGTAATATTTTCCCATCCACACATGCATTCCTTGGCAGGTGCTCTATGCTGGCTAATATAAGCATCTCTGTGTGTGATGACCCAGGGGACAGCACAGAGGCAATGCAGTCAGCTGGTAATTCAAACAGTTCTTTTATTGCTCCCAATTTTCCCCAAATGCTCCCACATTTGCTGGCAAGCCTCCAACAAAAGATCACATACACATCCCTTCAGCCGACTCTGGTTGAAAGTAGGTTCAAATACAGACTGATTAGCATAAGAAAGTAGTCAAAGCCATAGAGATAACAAGGAAGAAAACATAAACTTAACCAGTCATTTGAATCCGAGCTTGCCTGAGCAGTTTCCAAAAGAGAGAATCCAAAATACAGTCCGATAGTCAAGGTTTCCAAGTTTCCAAACAGAAGGCACAGAACAAGAGCAACAACACACAACACTCCAAAGAGTCAGAGTTTGTTCCCGACAAATGCCCCACCCCACAGCATCTTCTTAAATCTCAATCCCTAGGTATGTGTTGTGGAATGGGGCGGGACACTCTCCTCCCGAGTAATTGAGCCTGTCTGGGTTGTTCCCTCCTTCTCTCCATTCTCCTTGCTCTAGGATCAGGTGGGCTTTGCTCATCACCTGAACTCTTGTCTCCCTTGTTCCAATCCTGAAGGGACCTGGCCTGCCTCAGCCTGCTCTTCCCCACAGTCTTCTGAAGCCACAGGCACCTCTCCCTCTGCCTCCATAGGGTCCTGTTCCAGCTCCATTTCCTCCTCAGATTCAGGCTCAGACGGAGGCATGACACTGTGGTTTTTCTAAAGAAGGCCTAACTTTATGTGTCCTCAAGGAACAGGATACTCTGATTCCAAAACTGAACAAATTGTCAAGTGTACAGGCCGTAATATTAGAGCAAAACAAAGTAGAAATGATAATTTGCATAATGTATCCATTACATTCAGTAGAATTCCACAACTGTTTTAGGAAATGCAATTCTATCAATATCTACCTAGAAAAATCTCCTGCTGATTTTTAACGGGCCTTATTGCTAGATAAAGATGGTAGAAATTTGCAAGCACATGTCTGAACGTAGGAGAAATGGCACCCCAGTTGGGGCTTTCTGTTCACTGCCTGCCCCCCCCCCCATTCTCCTTCTCTATGTCTCAAACTCTAGCAGGCATTTCCTATTATGGCTGAAGAAACTATTGTCTCTTTAGATATGTTTAGCCTGGAATAGCATTAACTAGCCTATATAGCCTAAATTAACTAGCCAGAAAATAAGAAATTCTAGTCCCTTTCCTAAAAATCATCTTCTAATTCTCTGAAAAAATGTTTTTTAAAAAAATTCTGCAGACTTTACTCACTTGTCAGATTCAATGGGACTACTGGTTATTTGAAAGAAGAAAGTTCAGAGATGATCAGGCTGTATCCTGCTCACACAAAATGATCATGAAAAGAGCAACTTGATATATTGCACTAAGATGCATTGAGCAATTGGATTCTGCCCATAAAGGGGGAGGAAGCTGCAAATATTGGCAAAAGGCTCCAGGATCAAAGAGAGGGAAAAGCAGAGAACTTCCTTCAAATGGGGTGAGAGAACTCCAGAGCAAAGGACAGTCACCATCTCTGGTGTGCAACCTGAACCATTACAACATCTATCCAGATTTCAAAGCAACTAAAGAACCCGAAAGCAAATAACATTGAGCAAATCCACCTACTTGTAGTATCACCTGAGATACTACAAGTGATCTGGCGCAATTTATTCTACTTTAAAGGAGAAGACTTGTAGCTAAGGGTTGAAATGAGGAGTCCTTGGTGCTCTCTGACCTTGGTTGTTTTCTTGCAGAAAAGTGGCCAATTTGTCAGAATGCTAATCACAGGACTGTATAAAAACACTTTAATTTCACAAATTATGGACAGACTTAACCATAATTTCAACTGGGAAACTGTGACTGTAGTAGACCAAGCCAGGTCCAAAAATTCTAGAGAATTCCTGGAAGCCTGGAACTGTGACAAATTGGCCATTGATAGATACATAAGCAACTTCTACCTCCTGTGCAAAAGAGACAATCCTGTTGGGGGAGGGCTATTCAGTTTTAATTTGGCACCTCTCTCAAACCAGTGGCCCTCTCTGTCCAGAATGTGGACCTTGCTGTCTTTAAAAGAGTGACCTTTGTCTTTCAGGTGCAGAGGGATTGCTGAATCCTGTCCTGATGTGTTTGTTCTCCTGTGTTGTGCCATGCACTTGTGAAATGATTCTTGTACAGGTTTGCAACAGAGGGGGATGGATATCTCCTTCTTTACAATACAGTCCTTTCAGCAATCCCAAGAAGGTTCCACAACCATTTGCACTCTAATTCAGGTAACTCTGAGCATATAGATAAACCCCCAAATGGCCTCAATGACCCTCAAGAGTACGAACAACCAGATCACTGCATAGGATATAAATCCTTCCATTCCCCCCCCAGTTAGTTAGAACTGAAGAAGTTTCTTGTATGAGAAAAGAAACATTTTCAAAGAAAAAAAACCAAGAAAGTCCAGTTGCCTTTTGGAAAAAGCATCTTTGGGGCAATCATGATGTGGATGACTGAGAATCTCCATAGACATTTAATTAAGAAGAATGAAGCCAAAAAGGCCCAGCTTTGAGGGGACTCGCAAGTTGTGTTTGCAAGCCAGCATCATCTGGATTTCTGAGTTCAGGAAACAAAAGGAATGGAAGATTCTCAGGAGATTTGGAGAAGTAGCAGTGAAAGTAAAAAGAGACACGTAAGACTACAACCTTGGGTTGTGCTGGTGGCTTTGAGATTTGCAAAGGAGCATTTGTTAGCATCAAAGAAGGTGTTGAGGGTAGCCACAAGCAATTATGACACATTCTTGTTGCTTTGCAGCCATAGGACATGTGGAGAAAGATGTGAGAAATTAAATTCTGTGAAATTTCAAAGCACAAATGTCCTTATTTCCTTCCCATTAATTTTATCTTATTCTTCAAACGAATGATTGCGTGATAACATTACAGGTGGTCCTCACTGAATGACCCAATCATTCAGCAACCATTTGAACTCATGATAGAATTGAACGAGTGGTGATGATGTCCTTGAGGTTCTGGCCATTGCAGTGTCTCCATAGTCACAGTGTCACAATCTGGGTGTTCAGTGCTGTGGCTAACTATTATATCACAGCATCCCATGTGGGGTGGTTGCCATTTATGGCATTCTTCACCAGCTTCCTGCAATCAAGGTCAATAGGGAAGCAGTTGAGAGGTTGCAAATGGTAGTTATTTCTGCCTTTTTAAACATTTGCTATGTGTGACTGTTCTGTCCTCTTGAAGCCTGCTCCTTGGGCCATTCTAACACGTGTGTCTTTTATTATATTTGACAGTTTTAACAATGGAGTCCAGATTGAAAGCACAAGGAGTAGAGATGGGTCTTCCCCACATCACTTTCAAGAGAAACATTAGGAGTTTGGGGTGGGAGAAGCTGATGGAGGTAGTTTCAGTAGATAGTTGCTAAAGGGAAAACTTTAGAAAGCCCAACTCTTATTACTATGAATTTCTACTGGTTGGGCCACAGGTGAACTTCCTTTTCCAAAGCAGGAAAAGGATTCCAGTAACTGCTGGAATCTGAGATTGAAACTGTTTTTACAACATGTGAGAAAACATCTCTAATTAAATGGATCATCTCCTAATTTAAGCATCCTGACTAAACTGGTTCCTCCATATCCAGTTATATTAAAATAGTTTTGATTGCAATACCCAGAATACCAGATCTGCCCATTTATTAGATTTAAGGAGCTCAGCCCTATGAAAAAGATATATGAGTCATTAAGTTATAGAAAAATTGGGCAGAATTCCTGTTTCCTTTATTTGTTTTTCCATATTGCATCAAGTGTTTTTTATCCAAATTATTCAGACAGTATTTATTAAGAGGTTCTTTTGGGGGGGTAATTAAAAGCCTGTCTCAAATCAAGATATAACAAATTACACCTAGCAGTTTATTATTTCTACAGCAAAAGGTATGTGGGGTTTAGTTGTCTCCTTATTCGTCTTCCAAGTTTCCCCTAGTCAGTCTCTGAAAGGACAATGGATCTTCTGGAAGGTTCTCTGGCACAGCTTGTCATCATTTCCCCAGGCTTTAAGGAAAGGTCTTGATTGGTTCCTGAGAGAAATAAAGACACAACCGCTATTCTGAAGCCAACAACATTGTAGCTACATCTTCAAATAGTGCCTTTAAGATGTGGACTTTCAAAGAGATTCAACCTAAATGGCAGCCCTTCATGGTAGGCCAGTTCAGGAAATAGGCAAAGCAGAGATTCCAGAATGTTCTTCTCTGTAGTAAAGTAGAATAAGAGATTTTTATTTATTATATGTATTTATTATATGGTTATTTCTACAAATAAACCCACACCCCTTCCTCCTCCTATTTTCCCCACAACAATAACTACTTAATTTTGGGGGGGAATTCCAATGGAAAATACTATTTAGAAAGAAGTCTAGCCCCTTCTGAAATCATCCAATTTGATCCTAGCTGACAGCTGTTAAGCATTGGTTCTCTACCTTCTATCTTCTTCCTAGTTCGATGAAACAGAATCACCTTCGGACTTGTCTGCAGAACAAAAAAAAATGAAATATCAAATAAGGTGGACATCTTATTACTAAAGAATCTGAATCTATAAGTTGGATTCTGAGGATTCCATAGATTCTGAGGCATAATATATATTTATTATATATATATCAAAAGATGTTATTGTTTGTCACATAGTCAGCCAGATATTTAGAATACATTTGACATTTTTGGTACACATATCCAGCCATTCCCAAAGAGCTGGGACAGACAGATATTGTTTGATAGTGTTACAGGTTGCAGGATGTAAGCTGTTCCAAGTAAAGCTGCCTTTTGCAATTGACTGTCAGGGATTTTGTCAGTGCCAATGGTGGTCAAGTGGTGATCCAGATATTTTGAAATTAACATTAATATTATTATGGTTGTTGTTATTTTTAAGTAGGCAACTAAGGCATACATAGACATCTCCTAAGACAGTAGTTCTCAATCTTTTCTTCATCACAGACCCCCTTTAAATACCTTTTGTGGTAACAGACCCCAAAACGTAACTCAAGATTTCAATCATAACACTTTTTCAAGCCTTCGCCGGGCCCCTTTAATCACACTGCAGCTCCCCAAGGGTCCACGGACCACAGGCTGAGAACCACTGTCCTAAGACATAACTACAGACCTAACTCTTGAAACATCATGAAAGATTCTTGCTCTACAAAATTGCCCAGTACAAAATCAAATGAGTATGTTTTTTTCAGTCTCAGCAGAGACTGGCAATAAAAACAAAATTTTTAAGAGATTGCTCTGTGAGTGAGATGGGTGGTCTGGTCTCTACACTTGATGTATAAATATCAATAAGATTTTTTAAAAATATCTTTTTCATCAACCACTACTCCCCTCCAAAGGCAGAACTAATAGTTGAAC